AAATACAAAAAAAAAAATTTTTTTTCATCATACTTTTTTTTATTATTTCTGAAAAAAAGTGTTTTTTTAACATTCATGTTCAATTTCCTGAAAACCGGTGGTTAAAACTGTACCAAAATCTATAAATAGAAAATACACATGATTATTGATGATATGCAAATGAAAAATTGAAATGAAATTTGATTAAGAAATCTACAAAAAATATTCTCAAAAATGCTGGTTCAGAAGATCTGGTTTGAAGTTATCTTTCTTAATATGGTAGGGCCCAAATAAACTGGTACTTTTACATGAAAATTTACATATATTTAATATTTTATGAACTAAAAATTTTTTTTTTGCTCAAGGAAATGGAATTATTGGTATTTACAGTATATATATATAGATAAAATAGTATGCAGTGTTACATATGGATAGGAAAATATGCTTACGGGTGTTAGAGCAAAAAGCAACTATATATATTTGAATGCATGATGAAGCAGAAAGATGGGGAAAAAAAATGCACAGTGAACATCACGTTAAACACACAACAGCAGTAGCAAGGAAAAGGAAGACACACAAACAACAGGTAGACAAACATGTATACACAGCAACAAAATAAAAATATAACAATGAAAATGAAAGAAAACAAAAAAAACAAAAAAAAAGAAGAAAACACAACAAATATTGCACTAAAATGATATGGAAAAGCAAGGAAATACACAATCAAAAATGCAGATAGCATCAATAAAGTTAATGAAAAATAAAATGATAAAATAACAAGTACATGTATACTTACATACTTCACTGGTATTTAAAATCACATAAAGATGACTCTTGTATCTTTAACTAATAAGTATCCATACTTACAGATTTTGCCCTTCCTAATATTATGCAAGAAAAAAAGGACACAAAATTTTATTTCTTTCATGTCAAAATCAAAGTTCAATCATATGGTCAATTGCAGATCAATTATAAGAATCATACTTCATGGCATTGAGATACTTTATGTACTGAAATGGGTGATAACTTTGGAAAGAATTGATTTATTTCTTGTAACTCTAATATTTCCATCTGACTGCTTTCTGAAAGAATATTTTCAAGGCCCTCTGCTCCTCCCTGTCAAAAGCAAGTTTCAGATGACCGTATGCCAAACCCGACTGTGCAATCTTTTTAATCATATAACTAGAGAGACATGTAACTAAAGGCTGCAAAGAGTTCAAACATTCAGTGGTCTTTGATTTGTATTCAATTGATGATAAAATAAAGTCAACACTGAAGCTATGTTTCAACAATATTTCACATGATAACCTATGATGTTTCACCAATGATTGTAAAATCTTTACATCTTCAACAGCTGAATGGGCATTGTATGCCACAGACATTGTATCTAACACCAGTTTTTCTAATCTGTACGTGTCCCTCTTTGGTAGAACTTCTCTAAATACATGTAGAGTATCTACAAAACCTTTAATGGGTAATGTACCACATGCTGGGTGATTTGATAATGTTTTCATCAATATCACAGAATCAAATACCTTTCCATTGTGACACACAAGGACAGGTCTGTGAAATTTGCTCAACCACATTTTAAAATCTTTGAGGCAAGTGTCAATTCCTACACTCTCTACCTTTTCTTTGTGGCAAAAAAGTTCTCCTCCTACAACGTGAAGGCCTGTGACTGCTGTTGCAGATGGTGTGATGGTACAGCTAGGTAGGACATATCTGTTAAAGATGTCATCACCAGAAACACAGGCTAGCTGCACAATCTCTGATGAGGTACCTTATATAAACATGATATTAACATTTATTGTAATGAAATGGAATAAATTATATAAAAATATTATGAAGTGAAAGTGATACAATTAATGTAATGAGAACACATTGCAGAATAATAGTGTGTTGGCACTGTTTTTATAAAATTCTTACCTAAACCTGTAGTTTCTAGATCAAAAAATAAGAAGGTGTTCTCATTATTTGATACAGAGGAGGAAGCAGGTGGCAATGTCCTGTCTGGTATTTCCTGCAGATGATCAGGTTCTAAATTGCCAGCTAGATCTATTGCTGACTGGTATGTTGTCCCCCTCCTTAACTTCAGAAGTTGATACCTGTTGAATAGTAAACATTTACAGAATTGTACAAAACTTTCAAAATAATCAATTTTTAGGGTAGTTTAAATTCACAAAATATGTACATGTACAATTAAATTCAAATACCTGTTTATTTGCTGCAGATTTAAGTTCCTTTCTACGTTTCTTACACTCCACGCTGCTTTTAACAATCTTCTGATAATCTCTTTTCCTGGAAGCCTTACTGATGTAGGAATTGGTGTGCTTTCCAGGAGAAAGGAGCAAATTTTCATACACCTGAAATTGTTAATGAGATTAGATAATACATAATAAAAATGCTTTTGATATTATATATTTGTAAGATAATCATATAATTTAGACATCAAAATCAGTTGGACATGTAAAGTTTTAATTTAAATGATACAAACCTTTGTTAGTGTTTGAAGACCTATGTTTTTTTGAGCCACCGCCGCTGCCACTCTGAATGATGTAGACTCAGAAGCACTGTGAAAGTTGGACTTTGGGTTCTTTGAGGCTACAGTATGGTTAAAACTTTCATTGGTCTGAGTGCTACCCACTTTAACAAGCTTTTCAGAATTTGCAGCATATTCTTCAAATATGGTCTTTAAATCAGATAGCAGATCTTCTCCTGTCATATATTTACCATATGGCAAACTTGTTGGTTTATATGAGGATGGATTTTTCAAATATCTGCAAGATGAAAATCACTTTACTGAAATAATTTACTTAATTAACATAATTATTATTCTTATTACTATTGCATTATTGTTTAGAAATTAACCTAGAATACTTACCCACACCACTCAGAACATCTTGAATGATCACCAAAAACATGGCAAGGAATGGCCTCCAAGTTTTTCTTCATGCTAGCTGCATCTTCACTCCCCTTGACAGCATATGCAAAGCACTTAGTCAGATGGTTTATTGCTTTTGGTCCAAGGTTATTATATCTTTTTTCCTTTCTAAGTGAATATAGCTTGTTTGTTACATTTTTCTTGGTATGGTTAAAATCTGAGAATTTTTCTAAAGACTCATCAAAAGATGCTCGAGCCCTACAAATACATAGCAAAATTATTTCAATTAATTAGCAAGTAATGACCCATTATTACAGTAATTCTAATTTCAGTATGAAATGTACAATTTTTTTAGCATAAAATTATAACCTTGAAATCGTAGTAGTATCTCTATCCATGATAAGTTTTTTAACGTGAAATCCCTTTGATTTTAATTCATGAAGCATTTCTACTGCCATGTCAGACTCCATTGCCTTGGAGGATTTCTCCCAATTCTTTCTACAATCATGCTCTTTTGGATTTTCTTTATCCACCGCCCTGTCACAAAAACGACATTTTTTACAACGTACGGCATAACTTAAGACTTTTCCGGTATTCACTCCAATCATACTTCCATGACCTGAAATCAAAGAACACTATGTATAACTACATTTACATACAGTTATTCAGTTAAACATGCATGATATAAAAATAGTGGTAAAAGTTGCTACAAAAAAATTATTTTAAATACACACCAGATAAACTAGCATAGTTCCTTCCACTTCCTCTGGTTTGCCAGCCAGCATCAAAGGAAACCGCCTGGTCTTCTTCACTTTGACAACTGCAAATGAACAAACATAACTTTCTCTCAAATGAAACATGTATCTATATTTAATTTAATGCATTACAAAGTATAAATTCCATGTTATAAACATAAATGATGCTATTAAATATATATTCTTACTTTTGTACCAAAACAACATTGATATAAATTTTTCTTACCTTCTACTTTCAGCTGCAATTGCATCACTACACGTCTCAGTAGCAACTGCTTCAAATGCAGAACCTGCCTCTCGTTCCCTCCTTTTTAGGGTGGTTGGGGATATGTTCGGGAGGTTCAATGCAGCCAATAAATTATTGACTACACTTTCACCAATACCACAGAATATCATTGCTGAAGTTTATCAATATATTTAAATGTTATACAAATGCACTATATATATATGCATTATTAATCAGATTGTAGTGAAATGTTGTGTTTCAAAAACTTAAAAGAAGCTTCAATCACTCTAATTTCAAATAATAAAAAAAAAAATAATTAAAATAAATCAACTGACCTGCACCTAATTTTGAGTTTACATCCCAAATGTTTTTTGAATGTCGTTTTCCTGTGGGAACATAGTTAATTTTCTTACAACTACATCTTAAGTGAAGGAGACTACCTGAAATTCAAGTATAAAGAAAAAGAATTACAAAATACTTAATCAGAGCAAATGTGTACACACACACACACACACAAAAAAACAGTATAAGTCAACAGTTACATACTATAAATAACATGCAGACATGATATTAAAATTCAATGAAAAAAATATCCTTACCTAGGCCATATCTACTTTCTCCAATGTATGATGTCAATTGTAATGGTTGTCCACAGCTTGAACACCTTTAATAATAATAATATAATTATGTGTTGACTTTTTATATTTGCTTTACATGTATTACTTTGGCTCAATACACAGCCCTATAGGCAATAATGCCCAACTTTAGTGCCGGGCACATTTATGGAAGAAGAAAAAGAAGAGTAAATGATAAATGTACAAACCCTTTCTCCAGTCCTTCTGCCAAAACATCAAGTTCAACAATATGTCTCCCTTGTACCGAATGGTGTGTACTGTATGTACAGGGGTCTTCATCGTCACATTTATCTGACTCCGAATCATTCTCATCTATGTTTTCATCTGGGTTTTCATCTATGTTTTCATCTATGCACATCTCACAATCATCTTAAAATTTTAATATTAATTTCATTACATAATCCCCACGTGCAATATATATGTGAATGTCACAGTGTGATATTCATATGGCTTAAATAGCTCATTTAAATATACTTTACAATACCTGAAGTAGATGATGATGTCGGTAAACTGGAATATGAATGGTCGTGTCCTACATCTTCATGTGGGGAGGGCTTTCTCGTTTCTCCTTTAAACTGTCCATTCCCATTTCTTTCCCGTTCTATGAAAAATGTCAAGTTTAATTGACAAGTTTGTCAGAACAACAAGACATTATATTGAAATACTTTAACAATGGTTACAGAATTTGAGAAAGCGGGTGTCCAGAAAGCTTGTAGATCACTGAGATGAAATATTGGACAACCAAGATAATAAAAACGTGTAAAATTAAATATCCTACCTTCATTATTGTCATGCGTATAGAAATGGTCGTGTTCAATGACTTCAACCAAAGACAAAGTATTCATTTTCTCTCCTTTACACTGATCAGCAATCCATTGTGCCCGATTTTGTCGGTTTCTAACCGGTTATTTACATACTTGTTATTTCAGCGCTTAATTCTCAATGAATATGACCGTCACAAAAAGCGTTTAACAGACCCATGTATTAAATTATCTTTCTTACAAAAGAGTTCCAATTTTGGGTTCCTAATTGATTCGCCACACGGAAAATTCTCGTTTTCACCGGAAGAACTTAGATTTTCACCGGAAAAGCAGCCATTATGACGTTGTAGCATTCGTCCTTAACACGATATTGTATATTCACATCAGAGAGGGGGTATAGCTAGTGAGCACTGTTTCACAGATTTCTTGTTTTCACTTAGTAAACACTTTCAGATATGTATTTTCTTCTTTCATCATTGAAAAATTGCAATTAAAACTAGAGAGTCTGCTATTGCAAGCAATAGCTTATGTCGTCCCAAACTGAACAAGACTTTCATTTTTTTTTTTTATCATTAAAACAATACCCATCATAGCTAAGCTTGGAAAACCATCAACTCGTATCAGTCCTTTCAGTACTTTGATATAAAAATCAAAATTAAAGACTTTTCAATGTTTCCCTGTTTCCATGGAAACTTTTCAATTTTTAAATCCAATGAGCACAATTTCATACGAAATCTTGGCAATCTTTATTAAGTTCACTAATCCAAATTTTGAATTAAAAGCACATACCTTCTCTCCTGGCATTATTTCGCAGTCTATTCCTTTCAAAACCAGGTCTAAACCCTCACGATATCTCAGGCCAAAATTTGAAAATTTTATATGGCCTTTTTGTGGCCACTCAGGGGCAGGTTTTGTTTCTTCAATCCGCCATTCTGCTTCTGGTTTCGTTTCGATATATTCCTGAATTCTTTCCACCGATATGATGTTTGTATCCATTTCGGTGAAAACATGAACGATCCAACGAAGGATGCCGCTTATCTGAAAAGAAGAATTAAAAATTTGAGTTATAGTTAAAACACTTTGTTATCAATGTGATCAACATAAAATTTGTCAAAGAAAATGGCATTTAATATGTGCAAAACCCATGTTATACTGAGGACAAAACTACTCACATGTCCAGCATACGTCATAACAAGGGCTATCATCCCACTTGATAACACGTCTCTTCTATAAACAGCCATGGTGCAAGCAATGAAAACGAAAAGATTTCCGATAAACTGCAAACGTACTCCTAACCATCTGCAATGAGTGAAAATAACATTACCACAAATATCAAATATATATTTTTTCCCCTAAAAGGTCTTTAAATTCGAATAAAGAATAAATTCTTACCTGTAGCACATTGTGTTCGTTACTTCAGCTTTATTGTATGCATCTCGCCGGCGATCAGACTCATTTGTGAACAGCTGAGTTTTGTTGAAAGCACGAAGTGTTGTGACACCATTGATGGACTCGCTGAAATGAGAGTACTGAGGTGATCTAAGGGCACTGCAGATCCTCCTTGTCTGTGTTGCAGTGGCACTGAAAAGCCTCTGAAACAAGATAGGCAATGAGTTATATTGATAAGAATGGGAAACTGTATTCTAATAATAATTTTTTTTTCATCTAAATATAATGTAAATTACCTGTATAAAGAAATAAATGAAGCAAAACGGAATCACGAAGTACATTATTTTAGGCGTCCCCATGGTAATGATTCCAAAAGTGAACATCATATGAGGAAAACATTCTAAGAAAGATTTCGTAATCCAAGGAAGAGACCAATCTAATGTTTCCATGTCCTTAGAGAAACGGTTGATGATCCTGCCAATCGGTGTTGTATCAAAGAAGCTCAATGGTGCTCTCATCACACTGGACAGGGCATTCTGGTGAAATGTTCGTGCTGACTTAACAGCGATATAAGTAATTGAGAGTTGTATGAGAACATCAAAAATAGCTACAAAATAATTGAAAATTGATAGTATTAGTATTACATCAAATTAAGGACGTTTAGAAAATATTTTTTTATGGTAAAGTGAAATAGATATACAAAATGCGTTCATACTTCTTATCAGTCCCATGCCTCCAAATACTTTCAGTCTGTATTTTTCTCGTGAATGTTGATCAGCTGTGGACATATTAGATGTAGAACAGTTATCTGCATTGCCACTGCTCCATTCGCTCAACCAGTACTTATTATAATGATCTGATATGTTCTCCGCAATGGTAAACAAAAGCACGACCAGTAGAAAACGTCCAGCTGTCTTCAAATAACTGGTGTAAACAGACCATTTCACCTATAAAAACATTACATATTTGGTGAACAATGCTCGTTTAATTAAATGAAAATCGCAGAAAATGTATCAAGAAAATATCAATATTAATCAAATTCTTGCCTACCTGTCCTGTTTCTATTGATTCTTCTTCTATGAATTTGGAATCTTTACATTTGTTCTCTGTTCTTTCCTGTACTCCTTTGTCAGACTGGTCAATGGTTGATATCTGTCGCCCGATGAACTTTTGTCTTTTATTTGTCTGCTCCTCGTCATCATCAGAAGACTCTTCTAGTGCATGGTTCCGTACAAATTCTGCAAACACACCATTCCTTTCCATCAGCTCGTTATAGGTCCCAACTTCCGTTAATTCTCCATTGACCAGATTTATAATCTTGTCCACGTTTGGTAAAAAGCTTATGGCGTGTGTGACAAGGACTCGTGTCTGTAAACGACAAAAAAAAACCAGTAGAGTGAGGCAGTGAGTTTGAATATGAAGTTTACAGACCATGTACAGATCTCGAAACATTCATTGATTTCTACCTTGTTTCTCAGAAGTCCTCCATTTCCAATGACTTTTTGAAATATATGTCTTCCTACATGTGCATCGACAGCACTAAGAGGGTCATCTAACAGGTAGATGTCGGCGTCCTGATAAACTGCACGGGCCAAACTCACTCTCTGTTTTTGTCCTCCACTAAGATTAATTCCCTTTAAAATTAAAAGATTACGTGATTCAATACTAAGTTTCTTTTCTAGAAATATCTGTATACAAAACTATTTTCAGAAACAATTAAATGAAAAATAGAATTGAATGAAAAATTACTTGAATAACGCAACTGGATTTGACAGGAAAACATATTTTATGATACCTTTTCTCCTATTTCAGTTTCATCCCCTCCCGGAAGAATATCAAGATCAGCTTGTAGAGCACATGTGTCGATTGCTTTATCATAACTCTTCTTATTCATCTTCTTTCCGAACAGAATATTTTCTTTCAGAGAATTGTTTTGAATCCATGCTTGTTGTGTTACATAAGCAACAGAACCATTCACACTGACTTCCCCGGAAATCTTTTCCATTTCTCCAATTGCTGCTGACAACAGCGAAGACTTTCCAGCGCCCACAGCTCCAACAATAGCCACCAGTCCTCCATCAGGGATCTCCATGTTTATACTATGAAAATGAATTGAATAAAACCTATTTGTGTTTTTATTCATTTATTCTTTCATCAATGGTGCATACAAGTCTCGTTTTTATTTTCCCTCATTAAATTTAAAATGAAAAAAAAATCCACGGTTGAAAGCAAGAATCATACTGTTTTAAATTTGGGTTCTTCTTTCCATTCCATGTAAACGATGCACCTTTCATCTCTATCGACAGTGCCTCACTTCCATCATGTTGGATCGCAGATTCATCTATTTCCTCTTGATTCAAAAATTTTTGAATTCTTTTAAGAGCGGTTGTTGTCTGTAAAGAAAATTAAAGAAAGTTAAAGTTTTTCTGCTGTTTAAAGATGTACGTTGTTTCTCAAGATAAAAGAACCATATAATATCAAACTTCAGGAAAAATGATAGATATTAACCTCCACAAGTGCTGTGATCACATGTGGCATGTGAAGAATTGGTCCACGGAGAATTCCAAGTAGAGATATTGTGTAGAAGATCTTCTTTGTTGTCATGATGTTGCTGTCATCCAACCACAAATACACGGCAAAGATGACAAACGCAATCTGAAAAACAAGAGAGCACGTAAGTATGCAACTATTGTACATTATTTATGCATGTTATGTTCGTTAGGTTTATACATGTGACATTCATACATAACTTGATTGGCAGACAAACAAAATAAAAAGTAATTTAATTAAGTTTTGATCAAGTACGCTGTTATTTGATGAAAAGTCATTACCAAAAAGTCTGATATTCCCCAAATGAAAGAGGACACTGCATCCAAACATTTTCTTTTCATTTTTCCACGCAGTTCTTGGAATCGAATGGAATCTATTTGGTCTTCGAATGAGGGTTCCCATGCATACAGCTTTAGTACCTGTCCAAAGATGAAACAAGAGATATTAAGATAAGTTTAGGAAGTGATTTCAGATTTTTTATTTAAGCTATTACGAAACGGGAAAGCTAATTCAATCAAAATAAGATTTTTTTATATTGCTCTAAAAATAAAATCTCTGTAAAAATTAGGCCACGATACTTCAGAGATTAATAGCTCAGATCAGTGTGGTAAGATGACGAAATCGGACATCCAACAGTATACATGTGCATTGTCAAAAAATTAATATAAAATAAATATCAAAGACATGTATGTTTAATGCTATTCTGAAGATAACTATACTAGAACTATACTGTAATTCAAGTACAATGATACCGTTAAAAAATAAGAAAAAGATAGACTTAGAAATTGGAAATTGCATACTGTGTATTTATATATTTTTTCTGGTTTCTCCGATAATAAATTAATGAGTTTTTTTTTCACATTTGTATTGCAATGCCCAGGATGAGGGAAAATTTTGTTCACCTTGATTCCATTGAAGACTTCATTTAAAACCTTCATTCTTTTATCTTTGATCTCAGTATCCTCGTTCTAAAAAAAAAACAACAAGACAAATTATTGTTTTATTAGAGAACATATTAAGACAAGATTACGCCAGTTTTTTCATAAACAATTCTCTTTGGTAGAACTTACATTGATTTTGTGATGTTTCTTTGCAATGAATACATTCAAGGGGATGAAAATGAATAAGAGGCTAAATCCTAGCACTGCAGCAAACTTCAACTCTTGATAAAGAAAGTAGAGGGCCACGCATGCCTGTAGAGGACCTATCCACAAAAAGTGTATTTGAAAGAGGGCCCGTACAACTCTTTGGGCATCATCAGCCATCAGGTTTACCATCTCACCGACAGTGCAATCTTTCTTGGCCGTGTTCGAAAGTTTAGTCATCTACGTGAAGAAGAGAAATATTTTTTGCAGTGTTTTTCAATATGGATTTAAATACCCGGTATATGTTTATTGAAGCTTCTTTTATAACAGAATATGGCAATTATTAAAGTATCAAACCTTTCTATATAAAGCTCCACAAATTGATGTTCTGATTTTGATTCCAATCATGTGACAAGTATTGTCGTCATAATTTCCCATCAACACTTCTGTGCAATCAACTATAAATTTTACACTGGCAAATAAAATTCCATGCCAAAGAAAATCATTTGTGTCCTCGGCAAAGTCAATCATTAGCCTGGAAAATAAAAAGAAATTTATAATATATGTGACAAAAACTGTACACTGAACTATTTTGATAAGAAAATTTCGACATACAAGAATCCAAGCTCTACTCACTTGAACAGCAGGGGCCCAACAAACTGCAGAAGATGACGCGACATCCGCATCAGAAAATTCAGAACGACCTCATTTAAATGTATTTTGAAAAGCACTTTAAAAAGACTGGCTTGATGAATCTTTCCTTCCGACCTGTTGTCATTAATATCTGATTTTACTGGGTTGTTTTTCCTGTTAAAATTAATGAAATATTCTTCAGACAGGTCATCCTGTATAAAAAAAAAACAACTAATGATAAAAAAAAAATTTAATACGGAAAATAAAATACTAGCATACAGACCTTTTCGTAATATTAACTTCGTCGCGCCATGCTTTCTGGAATATGGGAACAGCCGATTCTGACGTTATGTCATCTGTGAGTTCTATCATGTCTTCTGCTTTTAAAGTTCGACGGTAAGCTTCCCGAACAATGCTTTAAAAAAACAAGAAATTATCAATCAAATGCAAAACTAGTTTATAAATTATAGCGAGACAAAATTTGTTTATTGTTCTATATAATCATATTACGCGAGAATTAAATTTTAAATACGGTTTTGCGAATAAAAAGTGATTTACAGTAGTTTATAAATTATATTTGTTTAGATCATATACGAGTATAAATACGGTTTTGCTTACCTAGTAAACCAAGAAAACGACAATATGGACAGAAATGTACTGTTCTCAGAGGAGGGTTTCTGAAAATATAGTAAAACACGCTTGTTGATTTTTTGAGATGTGATCTTAAACTCATAAAAGTTATTTATTTTGAAATCCATTCAATAAGTACCTTGTATTTTTGATCATCTTCAGGGAAGTTGTCTACAAATAGTGCTGTCAGAGTCAGCTGAGCAATGCTGAGAAGAGTCTGAATTGACAGGAAACAAAACCTCGTGTCCACATTCATATCATCCTGAAATGGCAAAATGTGAGTGTTATTTCTTTAATGGGACATGTCCGACATGGACACAGTTTCAACTGAATTTTTAAAACAATTTTTGATATTTATAATTCCTAACTTAGGCAATTCTAATGATTAGCAAAAATTTGACCACCATTTGGTTATTTACAAAGAAGATAGAGAACTTAAAATTCTTCATAATGTAAACAAGGCTCATGTCTTGTTTTTGCTAACATATAAAAAAATTAATTTCTGTATTGGAAAAAATCTGCTTTGAACGAACATATATTAGTATATTTAACCTAAGGAAACAAAAACATGACAAGGGCCTTGTTTACATAACAAGGGTTTGGAGCTCTAAATCTGTCTTGTATCTCAACAACTGAAATTCAAATTTGTGATGATCATTATAAATACCTTGGTATAGTATTTATAAATAAGAAAATAGTTTTGAAAATTTGTCCTTGTTCCTTTAATTTGTTGGTAAAGATTTGAAAAAGTGAAATAATTTAGGTTAATATATTTACTCATTTAGTATTTCAACGATTCGTATGTACTTGTACCTGCTTGAGGAGGGACCTGACCCGAGATTGGAGTGTCAAACAAAAGCTGACAAACATCAGGAACCAGAAGGTTAGCAGAAATCCAGAGGATCTTATTTTTTGTTGGCGTTCTGTCCACATGACGTGATTGGCCATGATCTATAGGAAATCAAAATAAGTATATATTTTATCATTCTTTGGACGTAACGCATGTAGATAATAGAAAGTTGATTTCTGAAGACTTAAATGATTAATAATTTTAAAATTACCAGTGTAATTGCAGTAAGTATGAATGACATGAATTCTGGTTGTCTGACGGCATCATCCAGAGAATTCATATAAACTTTTTCTATACATTCCAGGAATGAAAGGAACAGGAGACCAGAACACAAAATCTAAAACAAAGCAATCAATATTACCATTATAAAAATATTTCATGTGATTGCTATAAATATTTCTTAATTTCATATCTTAATATACTGATGCAGCCACATGCAGTAACATATCACAATAGAAGAATGAAGATTGATTAGAAGATTGAATTTTGATTGTTCATTGTATTGTCATTTTTCTTTTCAATAGATCATTTGAATGTGAAAGAAATGGGAACTTACATATTTGGCAAGACTTAGCGTAGAGTGTTGTTGTTTTGTTCGTTCGTTTGGCAGTAAGTAGAGTCTTAGTGGTGAAAATATCAGGATAAAAGTACATGGTACCCAGGGTAGGACTGTTTTCTGGAAGCAGAGAGTGAGATCGGGAGAAGCCGTGTTCCACGTCAGGTTGGAGTCCTGAAAGTAAATACGGCTTTGTATTGTAGTTAGAAGGTGATCAGTAAAATTAAAGTAAGGGAATTAAATACGAAATTTATAAAAAAAAAAAAAAAAAAAAAAAAAAAAAAAAAAAAAAGAAAATTGAAGATAAGGAACAATGATTGATTTTGAAAAATGTAGAGACAATACAAAATCGTTAAATTAGGGATGTCTTATAAATGATTAAAAGGTGTGAGATACAGCTACAGCAAGAAAAATGTCCGATGCATTTTAATGTCCAAACATCTGTCTTTTAATTCCTACGAATTTTGACAATATGTGCACTAATTCGTTAATATATGAAAAATCCTTATCTTTTTATGAATTACTTTTAGCGATATGGAGGAAAGCTTGATTGTTTCATCATGTTGTGCAATACTATTGGATTATTGAACATGAGTACATCCAGTAATGGCGAAGAGCGAAAGCTATATCTACGGACACACGTGTATAATATGTGAGGGAAAATGGATGTTTTGGGGTTTGTTTTTTCAATTTTATTCTCTTTACCTTTTTAAGTGATCTGAACCTATTTTCTTTAAAATTTAATAAACGATTCAAGAAAATAAATCTAGATTATATTTAATAGCAACGATTAAAACAATTTTTTTTTTCATCTAGATACATATATGAATGAAATATAGGGAAAAATTCCTAACATACCCAGAGAGAATCTTCCGAACAGAACGATTCAATCTTGTCTACAATGCTGTCCGTCATAGCATTCATCTTAAAGGTATTCTGTGGATGACCTATCGGTGCAGGTAGTTTTAATGGACCTAAGTGCTATTTTTATCTGTAGTGTAATATGAGGAAAACCCCGGTGAATCGGGAGAAGTTCAAGGCTTAATCTTGAAAATCTGAGCGATTTTGAAATCTATATACACGGGGTTACCGCCACACGTGGTCAAAACAGTTTATTCGTTCTTTGCATGAGGCCTAATACACAGTAGAATATTTGATAATTACATCCTAATATGATGATTCATCAGCAATATAGGAAATTCAGGTATATACATATAGTGTATTATTTAAAATGCTACTATAAATTTCTGTCAATGTAAAGATAAAAAAAAAACTAGACAGAGTATCATGTACCGGTGATAATTTATTCTTTATTAGTTAAAAAGTCTTTCGATCGGTTTCTACTATTTTATTTTCTTTATTACGATATTTTTTTTTTCGCAAATAGGTTCAAATAATTTAAGGAAAAGTTTAAGTTGCATAATGTCAAAACAAATTTCTCAGTTTAGAAAACCTTGCTTTCTTTGTCAAATCAAGTTGTATCAAAATAAATTTTGCAATTGAAAGAGCATATATTTTACATACATTTGATTCAAAAACAATGCCCTGTTGTAGTTATCAAAATTGAAGCATTACATGATGGTCTTTTCAACATGTACCCGGAGTGGTTTTTATTTTTTTATAGGAGGCGGGTTTTTTGTTTGTTGTCATTGTTGACATCTCTCTCTCTTTTCTCTCTTTCCAAACATTGATTTTGTTTTAGCTTTTTTAAGCAATGTCAATATGAAATTATTTTAAAAATGAATGACAGTAAGTTTTTTGTAAATGTTTAATTTGCTAAATTCTGAAAAAAACAATAATTTCATTCAAAGACATGATTTAGATTGAGGTATGAAGAATACAATGTAATGTTTTGTGAAGCTAAATGGAAATCACGTGACGAATTGTAATATTTAAAAGGTCAAAAGGGACATTTCAATGGAAGCGAGAAGTTTATTTGAACATGTTTTTTGTTAAATTAAATATGAGCACACTTTTGTCGGCTCTTCTCCTTTAAATATAACATTATTTTGTTCAATATACAACTACAGTTTTCTTAAGAACAGCCGACAAACATGTACTGACTATGTATTCAGACGATGATAAACACTGACCCTGATTATCTATTGATATTCAAGAAATCTTCAGGCACCATGCTTTCGATATTTATTTAGTTTACATCGAAAAGAGTGTTTTAAATTCACATCCGTACCATGAATACACAGTAAAGATATCGGGAGTTTATATGATGGAAAAAAATAAACATTTTATGAAACTTAAATTTACAGCATTTTTCTGGCCAGTTAAGTCCACCCATTCTTTCTCAGTTTAGAAAACCTTGCTTTCTTTGTCAAATCAAGTTGTATCAAAAGCATATTTTTTTTTCAACGCAATTTTACATACATTTGATTTATCACTTATAGTTACTTAAATGTACATTAAGATGGTCGTTTTTTTTTCTTCTTCTTTTTTTGTTTTTTGTTTGTTTGTTTGTTTGGTTTGGGTTTTTTTTAATTTTGTTTGTACTTTTTTAAAAGCTAAAAATGTATTCTTTGAATGCAGTAAGTTTTTTGTAAATAGTTTATATTCTGATAAACCTACTGGTTGTTTAAAAAAAATTTCATTCCATTGCAGCTCAAGTCCAGGTATATTACTGATAATTTTGTGAAGCTAAATGTTAAAGTACAAATTCATTAACTATACATGAGTCAAAGGGAAATTCCGAATTCACGGTCAATTTATATTAAGCCTTGACCTTTACCTGTATTTATAAACATATCTCTCCTTTATGTAAATAACAATAACCAATGTACTAAGGGCCCGGTGTCCAATTTAATAAATCACTGTACTAAGTCATTATGTCCAACAAACAGGCATGAACTAAACCTAGGAGTCAAATTTGTTTTACTCTAAATTGGTACTTAGAATAAAGTAAACGGATTTAAAAAAAATACCTGACGGACACCCACATTGCTTTAAAATTGTTCTCTGCTACGTCAAGGGGAAAATCCAGTATTTTGAGTTCAATAAGCAATCAAGAAAATTCCATTCATAAAACAGAATTGAACATTACAAATTTAATTAAATAAACTTTTTAAAAACTTAACTGAATAAATGTAGTATGGAATTAAATTTAAATCTCTTTAAAACAAAACAATAAGATTTGAAAAAAATATATATATATTTTTGTTTAAAACTGCGAAAGTATATACCATTTAATGTGTTCCTGTATATTGCTATCAATGTTCATCTGTTCGGTTATATTTATAAGGATGATTCAATTAAAGTTCTATAAAATGGCATATTTATTTGTATAAATCTGGAAATAGAAGCAACAACCACTTATTCGGCTGGGATCTACTTTCTCAGGACAGCTGATTTGGTTGAGTAAACAAGCTTCGTCAGACGGGGTAAAACCAGTCTTTTACTCAATGAACAAGTCGATCAACCTGACGTATACATTTGTAGTACATGAAGTTGTTTATTGACTACGGGACCAATGTGTTATGGAGGTAGAAAGAATGGTTTATTCATTAGGTCCCATCTATCCGGTCATTATATCAGAAAATTGAATTGCTACAAAGGATTGTAAATTAGTTTTACAAGACATTTTTCGTTCTCTTGAGTATCGTCTGATATATTCTTGCATGAATCAATAAAACCTCCCGTGGTAACGTTGTACACTTAGTGTAAGACCAAGTAAAATAAGAGGAATAAATTTTAAACCAACGAGGATTTCACTGAAGATTGGGGGGAGAAACCTTTCTTCTCTTTTTAAATTTGGCCAATATTTCGTTTAAAATTTCAGATTCAAATGACTGGCCTGGTCATCTCTGTGACTGGCCATATTTTAATGTTTTTTTTTATTATAAATATTTTACAATATTACAGGATGCAAGTCGCAAAGGTAATTTGTACAAGTCTGCTACCATTGTCGACAATGGAGCGGTAGGAAAGAAATTGAGATTAAACTCATTTCAAATATTGTGTTCTTTAAAAAAAAAAAAGTTATAAAATGTTCTAACCTTATTAAAAATATACCGGGTAACCATGAATGTATTGAAAAAATCAGGTTTGTGTAATATTTATTGAATTTATATCATTTTAGCTTAATTATTATGTTTGTTCAAAATATTTTTGTCATGACATAAAATGTTCATAAAAATGTTGTCATAACATTTCATCTATATACTGTAATCAAATTATATCAATTTTGAAAAGTATTTTTTTCTGACTGGATTTAGGATGCATTTAAAACACAATTACACATGTACTAGTTAAGATTTCTTGAGTTCAAACACTTGATATACTATCTACTATAACACTCGAGAAAAGTTGAAAAATAGAGAGTAAACTGAAAGGACTAATATTATTAAAAATTCTCTACTATTACTTAAAAGGCCATCGACTATTACTTTAATTTCTTGTTATAGGAAGTTTCATTTCAAATCGATATTATGTCATTAAATATCTGCAATTTGATCGCAAAAGTAGCATTTTGCAATAAATATTTTTCATGATTATTTTGAATGAACGATTTTCTTTTTATTAATTAAAATAACTTAAAGGTTAAACTTATGCATATGAATTCTTTCGAAAAATTCTTTGAAGGAGTGTAGAAGAAATAGAGAATACTGGGATTAAAATCATACCGTGCAATCAAAATTGAAGTGTTTATTTTGTGTATTTTGTGGTTTAGCAAATCAGTTGAACTAATACACTGTAGGTGAGATACTCTATTACGTTGTGTGGTGAAATGCTTACAGAGGATTGGTCAGGTCAGCTGCTAAGTGCTAATATGAATATAATCTCTACTTATCAAATTCACGTGACCAAAACATAGTCCAAGAACCTGCAATATATGATTTGACATTTGTTTTATTTCTTAAAATAAACAAAATATATTAACGATGGACACGTTTGCTTGGACACGTTGCATCTCTAATATTAGATATGATCCTTTTTCTGTAGGATTGACATATGCATTCAATGAAGCAAAAACAAAGAACTAAGTTTATGATTAGAGAAACGTATTGACTGTAGAAAAACAATTACTTAGTTTGAGTAAAAAAATACTCCAAATATATTGTACATCTATATTTGTATCATGTAGAGTCTTTTCATGTTAAAAATTAGTGTAGTCTACTTGTGTGCCAAGTTATATTGAAATCAGACCAAAACTGTAGAAGGAGTAGCGTTTTAAAGGAATTTCACAGAAAATTCTATTTTTAGTAACCATGGCAACACCGTTCATCGAAATCAAAAACCGATGCACTATTCTATGTATCTTAGTGTAGTCTACTTGTGTGCCAAGTTATACTGAAATCAAACTAAAATTGTAGGAGGAGTAGCGTTTTGAAAAATTGTTTACAGACGGACAGACAGACAGACGGACGGACGCCGGACGCATTACTATCGCATAAGCTCTTCTGGTCTCTGACCAGTAGAGCTAAAAATTAGGAGGGTAATAGTTTTTTGAAGGGCACTGATGTGTCGAACAACCCTCATGTAGATGTTGTTGCGAATCTTTGAAACCGAATTTGTTCAGTGGTTCCTTAAAACTGAAATTTTTAAAGTCGATATTTTTTCTTAGCCTCTGAGTTATCACTGAACTAGGCGCGTACCGTCACTAAGCATTCATACATATCCTTCACACATTTTTTTTGTAAAGTACATTGTTAATGACCTTTAGGTGATGTACAAATAAAGGAAAGGAGAGATATAGCTATAGACATCAATTTCATTTGAAGAGCTCAGCTAAGTCTTTACTTCAGGTGAGATGTAACGAGAAGAAGAAACTTAATTTTATAACAGAATTATTTGATAAAAACCATAAGATATTAATAAAATACATTTGTAAGTTAATAAATTTCCATTTGCTCGGTACATTTTGTGTATGTCGTGATACACAGTACATGTATATATAAGCTGAAATAGTTATTTGT